GAGAGAGGGAGAGAGGGAGAGAGGGAGAGAGGGAGAGAGGGAGAAAGCAGGCAACAAACTTTACCTGGCTGCAGTATGGGACTTCTTGGTGATACAGAAGAAATATCTTCTCACGCAATATCTCTGAGACGAAAAACCTTGTGGAGTGCTCACTTACGATATCCTGATGAAACGGCAAATGCAGAACAAAACACATGTCAGCCTGACATAATTCTCAAACTAAATGCCATTCTGACATCGTCTTCAAAACTCGTGTCCGTCTACATCATCTTCAAAAAAAGTGTCGGTCTGACAGCATTCTCAAAACACATGTCAGTCTGACAAGCTCTGACACAGCAATCACAAAAGAAATGTGGCATCCTCAATTGATTGGGTAAAAAGAACCTCCCATCCATCCATTCATCCATCCACCCATTAACAAATGCATCCTAACACTCTACAATTCAGTAGTTTTTGCAAGTTCAAATTCCGCAAGGCAAGCTCCAAGCAACCATGCTCTTTCAACGGAGGAAGTCAGAAGATCATCCTCGAAGCCTCCCACATCTCTCATCTACAGCTACTTTGTTACACGGAGGAAGTGGTTAAGACCCGCAGAGTTTCTTTTTTTCTCTCCTTCTTCTTCTTCTTCTTCTTCTTCTTCTTCTTCTTCTTCTTCTTCTTCTTCATGGCAGGGAGGGAGTGGTTACATGCCCCAGGGTTTCTTCTTCTTCGATCGAACCCCCCAGAGTTTCTTCTTCTTCTTCATCTTCTTATTCATGACAGGGACGAAGTGTTTAAACCCCCCAGAGCTTCTTCTTCTTCTTCTTCTTCTTCTTCTTCTTCTTCTTCTTCTTCTTCTGCTTCTGCTTCTGCTTCTGCTTCTTCTTTATGGGATCACAATTGCAAACTTCTACAATCCTCAACTGTGTCCAGATCTTCTCACCAAGTTCACTTCTCCACCCTTAATATCTTATTGCATGCTGCTGTAGAGCGGGCATGGAGGCCACAGCTCCCTTTATGTAATGCCATGCCTTCCTCCCATCTCTCTACTGACTCTGAACCATTGGTAATAAGGCATGGCATCCAATAAGGGGCTAGCCATCAAGCAAGCGCTACAGCTGTCATCCTGGGTTAACAGATTTGGTTACCTGAAGAGGAGAGGCGTGTTCTTTGCACACAATGCACACACAGGTCATGACGTAAAGAAGAAGAGAGCCCACAGCAAAATTGCAAATGATGCCAATCATCGCATTTTCTGCAAACAAAAACAATATCACAGACATGCGAGCTTGTACTTGTCGTTCTTATGCCTTTTCAAAAAAACGGAAAAAAAGATCAAAAGACTTCATGGTAAGATGAAATAAAAGTGCATTGTTTCCTTTCCCCCACTGTTCAACACTGCTGTGCGTAAACCACCAGTTCATACTGATGATCTGCCGGTTAACCAGAATGCTGTGCTTTGGATGTATGGACCAGCCCGGACCGGGTTAAATTCATTCATATAGTCATATACTGGAAAACCTGTCAGCATACAGGCCACGAGACCACATGCCGACATTCTCCGATCAAATACTCCCCACCTTTACCTCTTCTCCAATTCTCAGGAATAAATGCAAGTCCGTGCAAGCAATCCTCCTTTTCGTCCATGAGCTAAGAAATTAATTATATTAATCTGAAGATTCTAAATTAATATAAACTGACCTTTGGATAGTACACCGGGCCATATGGCATATTGTCCAATATCCAGTCCTTCAACAGGCTGACTCCACTGCCTGTCTTCGCGCTTATTGGCACAACATCGTCTATACCACCATTCTCCCGAAACCACTGCAGTGCACATTCAACAAGTACAATGCAACTAAGTGTTATCAAATACGTATATAATATATATATAGGGGATTCATCCTCCTGATGAGCCAGTGAAACTCCGACGAAACAGTTTGTCACAGCTCCTTGTTTGTTGTCCTCTTCTCACTCTCTGCCTAGGGTTTACCGGGCAGTTCAGTTTGACGATATATACATATATATATATAGTCATTGAGAACTGCTCGGTGAACCGTAGGCAGAAAGGGAGAAATAGGCAAGAAAGGGGGGGGGCTTGGACAGACTGTTCCGTTGAAGGTTCGCCGACTCATCAGGAGACTGAACGCTCTACAGTCTGCTAAGTCCCCTTACTGACGATACTGCAAATGACAATGCACCTTAACCCGAGTTGCGGTTGAGCATCAACAACTGCCCCACAACTGATACGCTTAGGTGAGCAGCAACCACTGCCCTCAAGGCTACACCTGATTACATTATAATCACACAGACTTTCAAATTGCATGTCAATCGTGTCTGCTGTGCTCAGACAGACTTTCAGAGTGCATGTCATCATTGCAGCCGTGTTCTCAGACCTCTCACCCATAACCATTCTTTTTTCGTATGTGGACCACTTCTAAAAGTATGTGCGTCGGCCGACAGAGTCACAATAGATTCTGAGAGGAAAAGTGGCATGGCAAGCTGACAGTCGATCCTCCGGATAGGGAGCAATCAATGCTGGTCAGGGTTCCTTTGGTCAGGACCTTAAGGACCTGTTTTAACCAAAAAAAAAAGAAAAAAAAAAAAAGGTATGTGCGTTGCCCTTATCGCTCCAATTTCAACGGATGTTCCGAAGGGCACCCATAACCATTCTTTCCACGAACAGAAGGAAGACTAATAAGCATCAGTAGGCAAACAAACTTATGATAAGACATTCCAAAGCCCCGTCAGAGTCCGTACCGAAGTTTATTTAATCTCCACCATCCAAACTCATCAACTACCATTGTTAATCCGGTGGCCATGTATCTTACCCTTTTTTACTTTCTGTGGCAGCAAACGTACCCTCACTATCTAACGCTTTATGTCAGCATGAACTCACCCATATACAAAGACGTGACGGAGTCCACCAGGTGGACATACATTAAGTGTACCTGGCATGATATACAGGCCCCATTCAGACCCTCTCTCAGATGTTGCAATTTGCAAACAAAGGCCTTGTTAGAGGCAATGGGTTCTTTGAACTTCTTTCACATGGACCTTGCAGCGCACTCGTCCAATGTGAGGAGAGGATCCGATCACACACTCTCTTTGGCGCATCACAACCGTTAAAACCTTTGACTATTACGGAGAGGACTAAACTGAATAGCATGGCCCGCGGCAGATTGAAGTGTGACACGTATAAATCAAGAAATGGTCCAAATTTTACTTATTAAAGTGAAAAAAAGAGAGGATCGAATTACAGCACTCCACACATTCAGACAGAATTAACAAAATACAATAACTTATTAAACCACCAGTACCCTAGGGGGTCTTAGGCCCCCCCTGGGGAGGCTCTGACGCAAATGCATATGGACCCGCCCGGCACACCGATTCAGCCACCGCGTTAACGGCCTAAAAACGTGGAGGTACTGAAGGTTTAAAGTGAAAAAAAGAGAGGATAGGATTACAGCACTCCACACATTCAGACAGAATTAACAAAATACGATAAGCAACAAGATGGCACAACACCAATAGGCGTATAGCTCTAGCGAAGCTGACAGCTTGTCAAGTTCATGAAGCCTAATAGCAATCAGGGACATATAGATAGGTTCACATAGCCTCTGAGCAAGTTGCCCCCGCCCCATCAACCCCCCCCCCCTCCTTTTCACACAACAGCCGTTCTGTTAGTGAACACGGATCATGAGTTCAAGTCACATGTGAGCTGGCCTGGAATATGGCCGTGGGCCTCCAGGTCGCTCACCAAGAATGGGTGCGGGGCCTGGGGGCCTGGAGCAACCATCGGGCCCCAAAACAGGGCCCGTGTAGCGGCCTCAGCATGCTACAGAGGCCTAGGCCAATTTCTCAGCACCAGTGAAGGTCAGGGTCTCTGAGGCTAAGCCATGGGCGGTCTTCTGACCTGACCTCAGCATTAAGGACTTGGAATTCGATCCCAAGGAACGGATCTGGAGACAGGACAAATCGACCAACACAAGAATAAATTCTGAATACGATGTTAAATTCAGGTACGAGCTCGGAGTACAGACAGTAGACCCTAATCCCACACTACTGAAGAGATGGAGGAAGATACTGGAGCTCAGTCCCTCAGCCTCCTTCACCATCCCATGGGCGAAATACCTCCCCATACGACCGGTACGAATCTGCAGCATGCAATGGCTCATAGCCCACGCGGCCCTACCTGTAAACCAATGGCTTCATAAGAGGAGACAACACTCAGACCCGAATCGTTCTGAACTAGCCTGATGTGCAACACTAACACACCAGAAGACATTCCACAGTGCCTTCTCTTCTGGCCCACAGCAGCCTGGATCTGTAACAAAATCCGGTCCCTATGGCTCGTCCTCTTCTCCTCTCCACCCCCCACCACTACCCCTCTAACAATTCTACTCCCCAACAATTCCCTGGACCTCAGGGGCAGCAAGGAGATCTGGTTCAGGCTACTCAGAAAGATGGCACTATGGGTCATCTGGAAACGCAGGTGCACACAGACAATCGAGAAGACAGAAGTTGCAAGAGAGAAAATGTGGTCCTTGTCGCTGAGGATGGTGGAGACGGAAATCCAGAGCAACTGGCACAAGATAATCTCCTCTACAAAGCACAGACCAGAGAGACGAGCCATTAGGTGACAGACATTCCTGAGAGATTGGCTGATCACAGGCAAGGTCGCCACCATAGTAGACAACAGGCTGGTGTGGAAGAAGTGGTATCAATTGGATACGCCGTGACACTCGACGCCAACGAAGACAAGACCGATTAACAACAGAGGTGAGGCAGCTCTTTCAGCGATTCTTGCGGTTTAAGCAAAGGTTTTACCCGACAGGACCGGACACGGTTTCTGAGAGGAATAGCATGGAAGGGCAAGCTGACAGTCAATCCTCCAATAGGGAGTAATCAATGCTGGTCAGGGGTCCTTCGGCCAAACGGAAGGAAGCGCGAGGGTGTTCACCATGTACTTCATTCTTGACTTGCCGGGGGAGCAGTAACCGGACTGACGCTCCCCAGAATGGACAAGGAGTCAGGACCACCATAAGGACCTGTTTTGGTTTAAAGGGCAAAAAAAAAAAAAAAAAAAAAAAAAAAAAAAAAGCAGAGA